AGTCAAGCGCCCTAACCACCTGGCCAATGATATAACTCATTCCTTTTAGATTTATATTCGTCCCAGATGTTAATTCTTGATTAGATGAGATAAATACTTTTTGATTTACTATTTTAGGATCTAACTTAAAAATCTACCTGATTTTTAAAAGTATCACACACACAGACTATACCATATCACTCCTACTTGTTTTTGGATCTCCGATTTTAATTAAAATGTCTGCTAAAATTAACGAAATAACGAAATACTATGCACAATTCCCATTGTCCCAACATGGTTTTAAATGCACTTTCAGGAGGTTCTTTAAGTACTTTGGCATATGTTTTTATTCCACTCAATTCTAATGTATTTCTATATTTATTTTCTTCTTCTTCTTTATAATAACTACAGACTTTAAAACTTGCTTGATGGTTCTCGTTGCAATTCGCACAGTTTGTCTGATTTCTTGATACTACAGCTTTTAACTTCATGATTACCCGTACATCTTATACATTTAATAATATTAGTGCAAGTATCAGCCATATGCCCAACTTGCTGACATTTAAAACATTGTATAATTGGATTGAAAGTTTTATACTCTTCAACTTTATAAAATCTAAATATTCTATTTTCATTATCTCCATTCTCTAAAAACACCTTTATAGTTGTTGTTAGTTCACGAGTCTTCCTGCTAGTTTTCCTTTCACCTTTACTACTTTCAATTCCTTGATTCATCAATTCGTACATAATATCTTCAGGTTTAATTGTATGATTACTTCCTTTAACTACCTTATGGTAGCTCCCACCAAACATGCTCGTTCCTTTCAGCCGTGGGGGCGTTATAATGTGACGGTCAATCCCACTAATCGTTGGTAAAAGAGTAGCCCAAGAGTTGGCGTTGGGTGGTGTTGACTAGCTGTCTTCCCTCTAGTCTTACACTGTTAAATTGAGGACGGCTAGCGCAGATAGTCCTCGTGTTGCTTTGTACGAAATTAAAAAAACAAAACAAACCTTATGGTAGCCTTGTACTAATCTTAACTCCAATAAAAATATCTGGAGGCCATGATTTCACAAATTTTTTACATGAAACATACATTCTGCTCTAATAAATGTTTTTACATTTCTTAACTTTCTTAACATGCTTATTTTAGCTTAAGGAAATTTGTTCTTAATTTCGTTACATATTTGTATGTCATTGTATTGATCTGGTACACTTTCCACAATTACTGGAGGTAATATTAATATTTTCTTTAGACCTGTTTTCTTTTCATTATTCTCACTTTGTTTTGAGTTTACATTAGGGGACCTTTGCAATTTCGGCCTTTTTTAAAAACCCGCCAAGTATCATCTCCTGTATAATAATTTGATTCTACTTCTGATATTGTATCATCTAATTTCTGATTTTCCTTATTTTCTTATTTACAATGTTTTACACTTCTACTGCTTGGAGCTTGAAGCTTTACAACAGGGCCGCGCTTACCTTTCTTTATAAGACACTCATTCAATAGAGAGTTGTAGTTCATTAAAGTTTAGTCTTTGCTCAACATATAAGCACTTAAATTTTTCACAAAGATCTACCTATTCTATTCGTGATGCTGTGAAAGAAGAAAAATACTTAGTTGCAGGTATAAAACAGACTAATAACAGAAGGATTAAGTTTTTTTATATTATATTTTATATCATGTATAATTTGTTATTTCAACAGTGATTTTGGACGTTTTATCTTAATCCACGCATATATTTAGTAGCGAATGAGTCCACCACATTCTTTAGTTGTTTAAAACATTGATATTTATATTTGTAATTTCGTTTACCTTCGAAAGTTCGATTCCACATTTTCTGTGTAATAATGCTGCCATTGGTGATATGGCCACCTTCTTCCAACGTTTCGTTCAACGCTAAGACGTACAGTAAAACTGCTTCGTGGAAAGCCGTCACATAGGTATTGACCTAGCATAATTATTGGCACTTAAATAACTTATAATTTTTACAAAATAAGTACACAGAAAATGTTCTCCTTAAACATTCATTTACCGCAAATGTGTTTTTAATTATAATCTGAATAACGTATTTTACATATTTTAGGACGATTAAGTTACAATTTATACAGAGAAATGATAATTTTTAACGAAGAAAACTGATTAAATCGTTATAAGCGTTTTATTAGGGAACAAAACATATTTAAAGTCTTAAGAGATTACTTGTTCTATAGGAAGAATACGCGGTTAATTAAGACTAACATTTTCTTTAAAATATATAATCAGTTAGCTCTGTTATAAATGTAAACATTATAAAACATCTAACACAGGCAACATTGGGTTTTGTATGGTAAACAATGCATGAAAATGACATGATCATTTTACACAAATTTATAAGGGTAAAACATTTCCTATACAAAGTCAAAAACGCCCAATGCACAAATACAAAAAGAGTAAGTATTCTTCACACTTTCACCAAACATAAAACAAAGTTACTTTGTTTCCAAATGTTCGAAACAGCTTTAATTAATAAAGTTTAAAGATAGAATTTATTTTTTTATTGCGGTAGGTGACGTGTGAGGATATATTTTAAGTATTCCAATCACACATTTAAAAAACGGTTAATTTATACATAGAAAATAACTTCTATACAGCTCGTTTTTATACACACAGAGGGTGGGCCACAAGGACCAACGAGTACAGGTACTAATTCATGGGACTTTTTCATGTGGGGATAATTACGTGATCAAATGTATATATGATGAACATTTCCAAAGTTCGATTGGTTTGTGTGATCACATGAATACAATTTAATCATGAAGATAGGTTTATTTTATTACTGCTAGTTTATTTATTGGGGGGGGGGGCTGTGGGCTATGACCCATTTCTTCTTCAAATATAGGTTTATTTTATTACTGCTTGTTTATATATTGAGGGGGCTGTGGGCTATGACCCATTTCTTCTTCAAATATAGGTTTATTTTATTACTGCTAGTTTATTTATTGGGGGCTGTGGGCTATGGCCCATTTCTTCTTCAAATATAGGTTTATTTTATTACTGCTAGTTTATTTATTGGGAAGGGCTGTGGGCTATGACCCATTTTCTTCTTCAAATATAGGTTTACTTTATTACTGCTAGTTTATATATTGGGGGAGCTGTTGGCTATGACCATTTCCTCTTCAAATGTAGGTTTATTTTATTACTGCTAGTTTATTTATTGGGGAGGGCTGTGGGCTATGACCCATTTCTTCTTCAAATATAGGTTTATTTTATTACTGCTAGTTTATATATTGGGGGGGAGGAGTTGTGGGCTATGACCCATTTTCTTCTTCAAATATAGGTTACTTAAAAGAATTACCTCTTCTTCTCCGTAATCAAATCCAAATTTCTTCTTTGCGATATCCTTGACAGTTCGAGAAAACTCGGCGTATTCAGGCGTTTCTGGTTTTCTTGCCGTCACTGTCAAAAGAGCTTCGTAAGCTTTCCGAGCACGCTTGTTTCTTGTTTGACTGTCTCCTTTTCGCATCCAGGGATTAGCATTTTCTTTTTTGCTAAATAAAAAGAATACTCCTTCAAAATTATTTCACTATTTGTCTACAGCTAAGAAAATGTAAGACAAAATGCTAACTAGCTTGATACATTTATTTTGGAAAGTATATTTTGTGTAAATTACTGTGCGTTACATACACCCCCCCCCCCACGTGGCACAGCGGCATGTCTGCGGACTTACAACGCTAGAAACCGGGTTTCGATACTCGTGGTGAGCAGAGGACAGATAGCCAATTGTTGTGTAGCTTTGTGCATAACTTCAAACAAACAAATGTTACATGGACAACATTCTGTCAGGCCTTCAGATGGAACCATTGGAGCTGATGATATTTTAATGCTCAAAATGGAACTGTCCATATCTTGAAGAGGGTAAAGTAATATGAGAATGGACTATTAATCATTTTATTCATATTTCAGCATCACAAAACACACTTGAGGGACGTAGCTCTCGTTTATCTTCCCCACCATATGAATCAGATAAGAAACGCCTATCCAAGCAGTTGGAGAAACATTCTTCAGAACTCCTTGTAGTAGATCGTACAACTTGGCAGCTCGAAGGGGAGTGAGGGTGGAAGAGGGGCTTAAACAGTTTGTGAAATCTAATAGGTTTCAAGTTTCTGCAGAAGATGTAACACACCAGGTGACTGTCATACAGCAGTTTCACATTTACATCTTGGTGTTATGTACTTCTGCTCAAAGGAGACAAATTTTTTTTTACTTTCATTCATAGTTTGCGAGCGTTAATTTAACTTATTGTAATACATGTGCTAATAATGTGTTCATTACTAATTATTATTATATACATCCAATAATGTATTCATTACTAGTTATTATTATATATATACCAATAATGTGTTCATTACTAATTATTATATATTTTTATCTTTTTAGTTTGTTTTAGAGCAAAACCACATTGGGCTATCTGCTGTGTCCACCTTGTGGAATCGAGCCTCGGATTTTAGTGTTGTGAATCCGCAACCTTACCTCTGTCACATCAGGGAACATTTTTTTTTGTCCAGAATGAAAACATAAAACATATTTCTGAGGGATATTAAAAAAATAAAATCAACAGTTACTAGCATTTCAAACAACATTTGCACGTACCTTCATAACATGTTTTATTATGAAACATGAATTAAAAGTTATATTTTGCTTATCATCTTTAATGACAAATTTGCGCTTTTGAGAAAATAAAAACTTAACTTCCAGCCGTAAAAAAAATATTGTTTTTCAAAGTAAATAAAACAGTAATCGGTTTAGCCATCGAACGTTTGTTAGACGAAACAACAGCAAAGAAGTTAGAGAAGAAAAAAGATAAATTGTACATCTCTGTGTATTTTCCCTTCTAACTAAATGTACGATAATCGAAACTCTGCAAGTTCTCATTTGAAGATAATCGCCTCATCAGTATGAATAATGAAGCCTGCACGAGACAGTAATAATGAAAATCACTGCGTAGAGATGACTGAAATGGTGTTCTGCGCAACTATTAGCAGAAATCACATATAAGTAGGGCCCGGCATGGCCAGGTGGTTAGGGCGCTCGACTCCCAATCTGAGGGTCGCGGGTTCGAATCCCCGTCACACCAAACATGCTCGCCCTTTCAGCCGTGGGGGCGTTATTATGTAATGATCAATCCTACTATTCGGTTGTAAAAGATTAGCCCAAGAGTTAGCGGTGGGTGGTGATGACTAGCTGCTTTCCCTCTAGTATTACACTGCTAAATTAGTGACGGCTAACATAGATAGCCCTCGTGTAGCTTTGCGCAAACTTCAAAACAAACCAAACCAAACATGTAAGTAACTTAATTTTTAAAACGTTTTTATTTAGCCTTTTCTGAATAGGACTGTGTACAAGAGTCTGCCTTTACCAGTAATAGAAATGCTCTAATCATTTGTAGGAGGAATCTATAGGAGGAGGGTTAAAATACAAATAAGTAACATACAGTAAAAATCGATAAACAAAGTGAATGCGTTAATTAATGATGTAACTTGTACACGATCTCTAATTTGAATTTAATTTAAAGCTTAAATCTCAGACCTCAAAACTTTGTGTTGTCTGTAGCTTATACTAAAACAAACTTACAAATAACATACAAATGTTTAACTGTAAAATCCTAGATTTTAACAAGCAACCATTGTATCTATTCAGAAAATACTTCGGTCACATCTTTTTGGGTGAATGTATACACGTATATTAATTTTTTTTATAACTGCCTTTTCGTGTGATACTATTCTACGGCGATTTGGGGCTGTTAACATGAACGACGGATGTAAAACCTGGAACACTGTTGAGTATGTAAGGTTGTTGGTCATACACGTGGTAGGAGAGAGATTAATCTATAATAATGGCGAAGGCCGTGTGTTTTAACTGTTAATAACTCTTCATAGTGACAGAGAGAGAGAGTGTGTACTGGATATTAAAAAGACACTAATACTTGAAAAAAGTGTCCTAACTGTGATGGGAAAATAGCGAAAAACATGTTAGAAATAATTGCTGGTAAAAAAAAACAACACGAAATAAACTAAAAAAATAAAATAAGGAATTCAAGAGTAGCCCAGTTTGTTTTTGAGACTGTGGTCACGTGATTTCACTACTTTTTCAGGCCACAAACACTATGAATGTGAGCAAAAAATGATAACTGTAAGGTAGTTCGACACGACATTTTACAAAAAAAAACGTTGCCCCCCACTGGCACAACGGTATGTCTGCGGACTTACAACGCTAAAGACCGGTTTTCGATACCCGTGGTGGGCAGAGCACAGATAGCCCATTGTGTAGCTTTGCGCTTAACTTCAAACAAACAAAACAAGCTTACAAAATCGTTATCTATTTTTACATCTTACTCAGCTACGACAGGTTAACGATATGTTATAAGAACGACGTTCCATGTCCTTTGAAACTATTTTTTTTTAATTGTCGATCTTGCTTTCCCTGTTAGGCACGATTCCATGATCCCACACTGCAATTTCTATTGTAACAAATGTTTGTGACATCTTAGACCATACGTCTTGACAAGTTTCCCCCAAACTATTCATCGTACGTGGACTCCAAGATCACTTTAAGCAAATTAAAGGCAAAATACGTTATTGTAGTTGCATTTTGAGTTACTTGAGAGCTTTCTTGAACTTTGAATTATTGTTTTTCGCAATGATCGAAACATTGTACCTGTTTAAAAACAAACAAACTGTAATTATACTTTTAAAAATATTTACTTACTGCAACTTGTAATGAAAGAATACTTATAATCAGTAAGTAAACTCATCTTCATCATTTCGTGTAATTTCATTCCAGACCGAGTTAAGCCCTCTCTTCGGCCAAACGAAGGAAAAAAAGGAGGAAGAATAAAAGATGCGAGAGAATGGTGAGGTAAAGGAGGAAATGGGGAGTACAGTGAGAACGAGATAAATGAAGTGTGATGATGGAAAGACAGGCAGTGAAAACAAACGTGAATAATGAGACGAGCACTATAGAATTGAAACATGGTGACGTAAGTAATCTAAAAACGAAACTATTAAATGAGCAAATTGTATTATCATTGTTATGGTGTGAACGCCTTTTACAAACCGGCGAAACATGATTATGAATAATTATACTTGTCATAAGATATTATGTTAGGCCTGTTATATTTTGTAACAGCAAGTACGGTGGTGGTCGGAACAATGTTTATATAAGCCATTGTTACAACAATTGTTATGGTGTGAACGCCTTTTAACAAACCGGCGAAACATGATTATAATTAATTATACTTGTCATAAGATATCATGTTAGGCCTGTTATATTTTGTAACAGCAAGTACGGTGGTGGTCGGAACAATGTTTATATAAGCCATTGTTACAACAATTGTTATGGTGTGAACGCCTTTTACGAACCGGCGAAACATGATTATAATTAATTATACTTGTCATAAGATCTTCATGTTAGGCCTGTTATATATTTTAACACTGGATTCTTAATCCAGTTCTTTACATTCTTCTGATTCTTGAAAATCCCTAAGGGACTAGATTAAGAATTTAGTGTTAAGAATATATATTAGGCCTAACAGTGATCTAAACTTCGTACCTCTGTTTAAAATACTTTTTCTTGTTGTAAAGTTGTAGCTTGTAATAAAGTAATAATTTGTTGAATTGCGCTTTGCTTAAAATTTCTAGTAAAATATGGATAATGGTGTTACTCGTAAACCAATATATGACAAAACAAGTCAGTATAGAGTTTAAAGACTTGGGTGTGACCTAGCATCACTTACAGGGAGGTTACCGCAGGGAAAGAACTACATTTAGAATGGCTAAGACTATAAAGGATTTAGTACTTTAATGCCACTTAGTGGCTCAGTGGTACGACTGAGGGCTTCTAGAGCTAAAAATCGGGTTTCGATAAGGGTGGTGGGCAGAGCACAGACAGCCCATTGTGTAGCTCTGCCCTTAACAACAACCAAACAAACAAATAAGTACTTTAACATTTTGATTTTATACCGTAAATCCAAATAACATTTTAAAAACATCTAAATGGTACTTTTTTGTGGCAGGTCAAAAACTAGTGATAAATTAGTCTGTAAATCTCATCTGAAGGAAATTGTGAATGGAAATATGATTCCCAAAGCGACATTCAACGATAAAACTCCTTCTTTTAGAATGAAAAGCAATTTTCATGTATGAATATATGATAGTTTAGCTGTCACAACGTTAATCTTATGATATCATATCGGCATATAACTGTCTCAGAAACCTCTGCTATTTTCTAGACTTCAGTTATACATCTTGGAGAACAGATGACCCTTGATATTTCAACTCTTAAAACCCGCTTCTACAGGCTAATCATAAGTTGTAAGTAATGGAAGTCTGTTCCATAATACACTGTCAATCTATCACTAAGAAATCTATAATGTAAAGCTTTGTGGTGGATGGGAGTAGATTATTCTGTCTCGTGTGGGCAAAAAACATGAATAATAAAAAAGAAAGAAACAGCGACTGATTATGGATACTTGTTTTAGAGTTGGAATTAA